AAAGTCAATTAAATTAAAAAAAAATTATATTAGCTAAGAATGAGTAAATCTCTTGAAAATTTACAAGTAAATTAATAGGTAATTCATAAAATTCCTATTTGGATTTAAAGGAAGTTAAAACATTACTTAATGCAAGGGAAAATCATTTATTTATCTATTATTTATTTAAGTTTTTGCTGTGATAAGGATGGAACCCAGGGTCTTGCACAAGGTAGGCATGTACTCTACATTTAGTTACATTCCCAGGCCAAGGGGGAAAATTTTTTTTTTTAAGACAAGGTCTCCAAATATAGCTCAGGCTAGCCTCAAACTTGCAATCTTCCTGCTTTACCCTCCCAAGTGCTAAGATAACAGGCAAGTGCCACCATACCCAGTTATCAAAAAAAATATTTCTAATGGAAAATGTACACAAAAATCATATCACAAGTACTCTAGAACAAAGTTAACAAAAAATGGTAACATTAAGATTTTACGGGGGCGGAGGATATAGCGCAACAATAGATAAACACATACTTAGCACACGCAAGGCCTAGATTCCATACCCAAAACCAAGTAAAAACAAAAAGAACCCAAGAAAGATTGCTCAAGTGCAAAAAAATAAAAGCAAATTTGATACTAATTTTATTTACTTAAAGATTTTAATGCTCTTCTCTTAGGTCAGTCTGCATCATTAATATTCTCTATAAACTGAGATTTTCTATGTGTTATGTTTTCTTTTCCAAGAAGAAGTGGCTGGCAGGTATTTACTAGCTGTCTAAGTGATAATTAACTTTGAGTCAATTTTCTTTCTGAAAGAAATTACTTACACATTTTATGTAAAGTAGAAATAGTGGTAACACTGATTTTATAAATCATGTTAAGACACTGTAGAAAACCACACTTGCCTGGTTATAAAGAACATTTGAAAAAAATTAATTCCCTAAACTCTATCAAAAGTAGGCTGTTAAAGTCATTGGAATGTAAAGGAACATGCAGAGAAATCCTAAGTGAGGAAGTTAGTTTAGCAGCTAAATTCCTGATGAATATAAAGCTTCTGTTTTCTTTAAAATTTAGAAAATGGTATTTTTATTATTTGAAGAAGGTACTACTAACAGAAGCCATACTTATATGACTATAAACTTGCTTTTAAAAATTTGTAGTATAAGAAGTAAGGGAGGAGCCAGGCATGGGTGGCTCACACCTGTAATCCTAGCTACTCAGGAGGCAGAGATCAGGAGGCTCCTGGCCAGTCCTGGGCAAATAGTTCTCGACCTAGCTTGAAAAAAAACCATCACAAAAAAAGCTGGCAGAGTGGCTCAAGCAGTAAAAGCACATGCCTAGCAAGTTTGAGGCCCTGAGTGCAAACCTCAATGCTGCCAAAGAAAAAAGGGTGGGGGTGGGGAAAGGAAGATAAAATACATGTTGGTAATCACAGGAGAGCAGTGAGGGAAAAGCAGCCTAGAAACATTCAGGATCCAGATATGGTTTAACTTAGTGTAAGCCAGAGGGCAGGGCCAAAACTTGGCTACACAATGACTAGATGAAGTTTAGAATCAATAAGGGAGATACTAAAAAATTTTTATTTTATCTTTTTCAAACATCTTAATTACATGTGACATACTTTAATGAAACTAATAAAAACTTAAATAATTAGAAAGTTAAAATAGTTACGTAAAAGTGGATTTTTTTCTCTTGATTAATAAATTATTAGTTATTAGAGTTATAACCTAAGTACCACTACTCACTAGGTAGCAGTTCCTCTAACCTCATGTTGGATATTAAAACTTTACACCTGGGGCTGGGGGAACAACTCAGTGGTAGAGTGCTTAACTAGCAAAACTCAATGCCCTGGGTTAAATCTCTGCACCAAAAAAAAACAAAAACAAAACTTCAAAACCAACCAACCAAACAAAAAACCCCAAGGAATACAAAAAATAAATTGTAAACGAGTAAAAAACGAATGGTCTGAAACCGTAAGATATAAACTAACCTCTCCATAGGCTCTAAATGCCTGTTTAGTTGATGAGGCTTACCATATGGACAAGACATCCCAGAGCATCTGATTGCTTACTGGCTGTTACCTGGAAATCACTACATAGGGATGGGGGAAAATATAGATGAACTAATGATGTAATGAATTTCAACTAGGAATAAGAAGCTGAATGCCAGGTCCACCTACAGAATGATATGAACAGAACGAAGGGACCCCACCTAGAAGAGTGTCTCCTGGCTTTCCACTCTCTTGTCCAGCCAAAGAGAACATAAGGAGGGTCCCTTTAATGTAGTGAGCAGAACTTGTACTTCAGGCCTCATCTCACTTGAAAAGCTTTTAGTTCCTTCATCTAACATATGGCTCCTGTGCCACAATATAGGGGAAAATAAGAGTCTACAATGTTTTAAAATTTCAAAAAGAGTAGCTCTTGAGCTTTTTGTTCAAAGCATGTAGAGGCAACTTTGGTTATTCTAGACCTTGCAAATAAGTATTTCCATGGAAGCTTGGTGACAGACATTACCGATGAAC